AAAAAAAAAAAATACTAGCTGGGCATGGTGGCTCACACCTGTAATCCCAGTACTTTGTGAGGCTGTGGAGGGCAGATCACTTGAGGTCAGGAGTTCAAGACCAGCCTGGCCAATATGGTGAAACCCCATTTCCACAAAAATACAAAAATTAGCCAGGCATAGTGGCATGTGCCTGTAATCCCAGCTACTCAGGAGGCTGAGGCAGTAGCATCACTTGAACGTGGGAGGCAGAGGCTGCAGTGAGCAGAGATTGCGTCACTGCACTCCAGCCTGGGTGACAGAGCGAAAGCAAGACCCCGTCTTAATTTACAGGCCAAGTGTGGTAGCTCACACCTGTAATCCCAGCACTTTGGGGAGGCCAAGGCAGGCAGATCATTAGTTCAGGAGTTCAAGACCAGCCTGACCAATATGGTGAAACCCCATCTTTACTAAAAATACAATAATTATCCAGCAGTGGTGGTGCACGCCTGTAATCCCAGCTACTCAGGAGGCTGACGCAGAAGCATCACCTGAACCTGGGAGGTGGAGGTTGCAGTGAGCCAAGACTGCGCCACTGTACTCCAGCCTGGTGTCAGAGTGAGACTCTGTCTCAAAAAAAAAGAAAAGGAAAGGAAAAAGGAAAGGAAAGGAAAGGAAACGAAAGGAAAGGAAAGGAAAAAGGAAAGAAAATAAAAGAAGAAAAGAAATAGTAATTTACTATTACTACCATATGTAGGTAAATACTACAGATGGTTTTTTTTCTTTAAAATTCTTTAAAATATGCATGGTAATTGAGAGCAAAAATTCAAACATCACCAGAGGTTTTCAAGGTATGTGAATTGTGATTGGTAGAATAATGTTTGGCCTTCTGCCAAAGCTGTCCATGCTCCAATCCCAGAACCTGTGAGTGTGTTAGTTAGTCTACCTGGTAAAAGAAACTGTGTACATGTGATTAAGAAATCTTTAAATGACCAGGCGCAATGGCTTACACCTGTGATACCAGCACTTTGGGAGGCCAAGGTGGGTGGATCACCTGAGGTTGGGAGTTCGAGACCAGCCTGATCAACATGGAGAAACCCGGTCTCTATTAAAAATACAAAATTAGCTGGATGTGGTGGCGCATGCCTGTAATCCCAGCTCCTTGGGAGGCTGAGGCAGGGGAATCACTTAAACCCAGGAGGCGGAGGTTGCAGTGAGCCGAGATTGCGCTACTGCACTCCAGCCTGGACAAGAAGAGTGAAACTCCATCTCAAAATAAATAAATAAATATTTAAATGATGAGATTATTCTAGAATATCTGGGTGGGACTAATGTAATCACAATGATTCTTTATGTGAAAGAGGGAGGTATGAGGGTGAGAGAAAGATTTGAAGATACCTTGCTGATTTTTAAACAATGCAGGTAGTCTCTAGAAAATGCAAGAGGTAAGGGAGATTTAAGGGAACTAATTCTCCCCTAAATCCTCCAAGAGGAATGCAACTCTGCTGACACCTTTTAGTAGTGTTGGATTTTAGGCCAGTAAAATCTACTTTGGACTTCTGACCTCCAGAAGTATACAATAAATCTGAGTTGTTTTAAGCCACCAGGCTTGTGGTGAAGTGTTACAGCAGCAATAGCAAATTAATACATGAATGTAATACATATGGCAACTATAAGATAAAGGGGTGAGGTAAAAGGAAATACATAGTAGTAAGACTGTCGGTTTACCTGAAGTGGTAAAATATTAAGTAGAATATAGAACAGAATAGAGAATTCAGAAACAGATCCACATATATATGACCAACTGATTTTTGACAAAGATGCAAAAGCAATTCAATAGATGAAGTTTAGCTAACAGTCTTTTCAACAAATGGTGCTGGAGCAAGAAGGTATCCAGAGGTAGAAAGGAAAGGAGAAAGAGAATAGAGAAGAGGACAGAAAAGGAAAGGACAAGAACCTCTCTGTATCTCATGTAACACAAAAATTAAGTCAAAACGGATCATAGACGTACATGAAAAATGTAAATGTAAAGCTGTAAAACATAAAATCCTAAAGATCTAGGGTTTCGTAAAGAGTTCCTAGGCTTGACACGAAAAGCATAATCCACAAAAGAAAAAATGATAAAACTAGGTGTCATCAAAATTAAGGGGATGAAAAGCCAAGCTACCTTCTAGGAGAACACATCCAAGAAGAAACTCTCTAAACTCAACAGTGAAGAAAACAAGCAATCCATATGGAAAATGGGCAAAACTTATAAACAAACGTTTCACAGAAGATGACATACAGATGGCTAAGAAGTACATGAAAAGATGTTCAACATAAGTAAGCATTACAGATATGCAAATTAAAACCACAGTGAGATACAAATACACAGCTCTTAGAATGGCTTAAAACCACCACACATGCCTGACAACACTTGGTACTGGTGAAGAACTAGAACAAGTAAAACTTCCATACATTGCTGGGGGGAATGCAAAATAGAACAGTCACTTTGGAAAACAGATTTCTTTCCTATAAAACGAAAGAAACTTTATAATTTATATAAGGAACATGAGTAACCATGGACTTTGGTATCCATGGTGGCAGGGAGTAGGGAGGGTCGGGAAACCAATCCCTTCTGGATACGAAGAGATAACTGCACTCAGGAGTAAATTTAACCAAGGGCATGAATGATCTGTATAATGAAAACTATAAAACATCACATCAAACACTGACCCAGTAATCCCACTCCTAGGAATTTACCCAAGAGAAATGAGTTTGGGTGGCTGTGGCTCACACATGTAATCCCCAACACTTTGGGAGGCGGAGAGGCAGGAGGATCACTTGGACCCAGGAGTTTTGAGACCAGCCTGGACAACATAGTGAGATCCTGTCTCTACAGAAAACTAAAAAAAATAGCACCTATAGTGCTAGCTTCTCAGGAGGCTGAGGTGGGAGGATCGCTTGATCCCCAGGAATTCATGGCTGAAGTGAGCTACAATTATACCACTGCACTCCAGCCTAGGTGACAAAATGAGTCCCTGTCTCAAAAAAAACAAACAAACAGAAAAACAAAAAACAGAGAGAAATTAAACTTTACATTCATACAAAACCTGCACATAAATATTTATGGCAACTTTGTTCATTACTTTCAAAAACTGAGAATAAACTAAATGTCCGTCAACCGGTAAATGGATAAATCAAAACTGTTTCCGACAAAAACTGAGAATAAACTAAATGTCCGTCAACCGGTAAATGGATAAATCAAAACTGTTTCCGATAGCTATTATGTAACTCTCTGGGAGTGATGTCCCTGAAGCTACCTTCTTGCCCAGGCCCACCCATCTAAAGCCACCGGACAAGTAACTGTTCTCTCTGGGATAACTGATCTCTCCAGAGTAGTCCAACCCTTTTTGATTAGGCCCCGACTAATTTTGGAATATATCTGTGACAACACCAGAAAAGGTAGTACAGGTAATGCTCTGAATAATATGTGTGTTCTTCTGGTTCACATTATTCCTGGACATTAATCACCAATGCTTAAGAAACTAGTCTAAAAATCCATCAGTCAAGGCATCTAAAGATAAAACAACATAAAGAAATCAAAGAAAAAGAGAAAATGAGGTTGGGTGTGGTGGCTCATGCCTGTAATCTCAGCATGAGGAGGAGGAGGTGGGAGAGGAGAAGGAAGAGGGGAGGGAGAAGGAAGAGGGGGAGGGGAAGGATGGGGGAGAGGGAAGGGGGAGAAGAGGAGGAGGAGGGAAGGAGAGAGAAAAGAATTGACTTATTTCAAACATTAAGATTGGATTGAAATGCTCCACTTCTAATATTTAGAGCCGAACAAAATAATTTTATGGGATTGTTGACTAAATGCAAAGGTGAAAATCTGTAACTGAATTCTGCTCACACTTACTAAAAAGGTATGTAGCTTAACCTATCTATTCTTCAATGTTTTTACTAATATAACTGAGAAAAATAAACGGTATCTTGCAACCCTGTCATATGGTAAAATATAATTGTAGAGCAAAGATTTTTAATGTTTAATACAATATAAAATAAAATTATTTTATATTGTTTGTGCAACCTTTCCTTTTTGTATCTATGTTTGTGCAGTGGAAATGGCATCAAGGCAGAAACAGTGAGGTAAAAAGTGTGGTTCCATTCCTAATACTCTTACTGCCTGGGTGAAATAATAAAGAATTGGGGAGTGGGCTCAACTGAAAGCTACCTAAGGAATGCACGATGACTCCTAAAGCTCAGATCCTGAATCCCTACAGTCCAGAATATGGTTGTTCAACAGCAGCACTACTGATATTATGAGTCAGCTAAAATTACTGGGGAGAAGGCGGCTCTGTACTGTAAGTTGCTGAACAGCACTCCTACCTTTACAAACTACATGCTAGTAGTGACCACTCTCCCTTTTCCCTGCCCATTCCCTAACAGGAATAATCAAAAATGTCCCATGGGGACTGATACAAAATGCTCAGTGAAAAGTGTGAAGGGGGTATGAAACTGAATGCTACGGTGTGTGGCTAAGTGCCCTATGTGGGAAACTAGGAATATTATTAACTCCTGACAGTTTATAGTTGAGTGCCTCATCAGGAATTGTCTAGAACCAAAGGTGCTGCCTTACTCAAGGTTATGCCCCTTCCACTGGCTTAATCACGCCCAATTACCACTCGATACGGGAAGGCACAAAGGGCTACCCCTCTGCCTTCAGATGAGACAAGTATAAAGGATCACTCCAAAGTTCTTCACAAAAGAGGCTAAGGTCTCTGTAAACGCATCATAGTTCACTTTCCCACTGTTCAATGTGACTTTCTTCCTTTCCTTACAAATATTGGAAACAGCACTCCCCAATAATCCCCCTACCCACACATCTCTGCCTTAGAGTTTTGTTTACTAGGAAATCCAACCCAAGACAGGGTAATAAAATAATGAGTCTGTTCTATTTATGATATATATATGGTATTTATGTTTTAAGTGAAAAAGATCATTTGCTGGATAAGAGCAGAAAGACATATAAATGAATAAAAAGGAGAGTTGACGAAAATCACTAAAATAAACATCCCATAATTACAAATTCAAACTAAGATATTAAACAGAATGCTTCTGAACAGACAATTCATAATTTAACAGTTAACATTTCTGGGTACTTATTAAGTTCCATAAATTATGCTAAGTACTTTATATATATTACCTGCCTGCTCTTCTCAAGTAGGCTATAAAGTAGGAATTTTTATTTCTATGTACTGGAATTTTCATGAGGACACTGAGGCCCAGGGAGATTAAGTACCTTATCTAAGGTGGTCATAGAGCACATGAGTGGCTGAGCTAGGCATCAAATCTTGGTCCATCCAATTCCACTTGTGTGCACTGTCTGGATTGTGTCTACAGCCTCCTAACAGGGCCTCTCACTCTATTTTTATCTACCTCTACACCATTCTTCATATTGCTGCTAAAAA